ATAATTTTAACCACGGATTTGCCCGAAATGGATTTGCACATGGAAAATTGTATAAATTAATAAAGAAATTTTTAGCAAACAATTTTATCCACGGATTTGCCCGTAATGGATTTGCACATGGAAAAACTGTATAGATTAACAAAGAAAATTATTTAGTAAAGGAATTTTTAGTAAATAATTCTAACCACGGATTTATATATATATATTTAAAGCAAGTTAAAATATATACTCTATGGGGGGGGAATGCGTTACGGTCGTTAAGATTTTAACTGTATTTAAAATTAGTCATACTCAATTAGTTCGTGCCAGCCTCGTGCAAAATTATTTGCCAGGGTCACAAAATTCTCACACCAAATTTATTCTACGGGTATTGGATCGGAGATTGATCATTTTCTAAATCAGGTCAAAATTATGATCTATGGATGATAGACGAATGGCGTGTGAATAAGTCCTCATAGTAAAACGGGCTGTGACGTATATGTGTGATAGAAATCGAATTCTTGGCCATAGATGGCACCACTGGAAGACAAGAAGAAGCACACCCCTCTGCTCTAAATAGGTTTGCTAGTACTATTGGAAAATGATATACGAGAACAGCAACAAGTAACATCACGCTTGGGTGCTGAAACTGATTGACTGCTGAATCGTGGCAAGAGCAAATGCCATCATTCAGTGGCCAATCAGTTTCGACACCCTCACTCGACGGTACCCAATTAATGCCTTAAATCTTTGCTAAAACTATATACTATCCATGGTTACTACTATTCATGTAATTAGGATCGATATTTTGTTAATTGCAATATTTCTAATATTAGTGCGAATTTCTTGTAACAGATAATAATACAATAAACAATAGTAAAATATAAATTAATATTAGGCTTAGTGAAAAATAAATTATTAAATACTTAGTGAATAAATAAGGAACATAAAAATAGTATCCATTCTAATTAAATAGATTAGTAGTAATTATGAATGACATATGAAAATCAAGAGGGATGAACGTTTTATGTCTATTTTTCACTAAAATAACGATTGGATCTCTATTTTACGCTTTTTGAAGATCACTATGCTTTGACAAATCATCAATAGCATAAAAAATCGGTTCTCTCCGAGGGTTATTACACAGTGAAGATGCAACGAGCTGGTTAAAAACGGTTCCTGTCAAGTCCTTCTTCTCATACATCAGAAGTTTTTTTTCCTCGTGGGGCAAAGTTTTGAGTAATATAAAGAGATCAACATTTCGCATAATAATAATTTCTGTTGTTAAGAAAGTTAGCACCAATTGTATTTCCAACAATAAAACTATTAACATTTTCTTTTGCGATATTTGATCAACCCTTTTTAATCCTTGAGAAAATTGTAAAATAAATCTATTTCAGGGAAGGTAGTGAAAATAGATTCCTCACTAGTGGTAACCTATTTTGTTCTTTTTAATTGCCTCAAAAATAGCAAGGAAAAACGCGAAATTGTTAAAACAGGAAAAATCCTGAAATAGGGAAAAAAAAGTGTTAAGTCCTCCTCAGTGAATATGAGCAATTTTTTTTTTCCATTACTAGAATCTAAATGAGTTATTTAACAACATTTATTTGCTTAAAAAGAAATAAATTATAAATTAAAATTTTATTTATAAGGTACCTAAAAATTATAGCTTTATTAAGAAAGGAAGGAAAGCGCCCCCTCAGGAAGTAGGGAATTTTTTTTTTCCATTGCTCGATCTCACATGAGTTTCCTAATCCTAACACAATCCTAAGTTTCAAACTCTATAAATTTTTTACATTATTCGTCATTTTTGGATCTGATTTGAACGTACTATTCCTTGTTTTAACGCTTTACTAAATGCTAACACTTGAAAAAGATACATTTTTCTCACACCGTAATCATTTTCTAACAATAACCGACAGAGTTGGTTTTTTCTTTTAAAACCAATTTCTTTTTAAAAAAAATTTATATATATATATATATATATATCTTTACATATGTTACCGGCAAAGTATGAAATCTGGCATTTTATAGAATGCCTAAAATTAGCCGGCAAAGTATGAAATGACTTATATTTCACACATTGCCTAGGCATTCTATAGAATGACAAACCGGCAAGTATGAAATAAACATCCTGATGAGGTTATTATGTAAATGATGTGCATGTTACTGTGAATGACCGAAATCGGTGGTTGTTGACTTTCACCGGTGAATGTTGACAATCACATAGTCGCTTTGGTGAATGTCCGAAATATTTATTACATCCGAATTGATATTAATTCATTCGTGGACATAACTACATTTATTCGATATTTTAATACTTACTGACGATAGATTAGAAGAAACATCAGTGTAGGGTATACCGGGCAAATGTATACCGGGCTAATAGCCAGTGGATGCAGCTAGTCGTTATTTTGGAGGGATGATCTACTAAAAATGTGTTTTATTTATTCTAATATATTAAAAGCACAGAGAAGGGAAAAAATAATTAATACATAAAATAAAATTTAGAGTTTGTGTGTCTGTCTGTTTATATGCCGAATTGCGGATATACCATAAACTCTAAAAATACGAGATTGAAAAGGAATCTAAATAAGTAAAATTATAAACAAATTACGATGCCAGGTTTTTAATTTTTTTAAAAATTATATTTCAAATTCAGACATTTAAAAATAGAAATTATATCATTGATTTAGTGGAATCCAGTGTTTTAAAATAAGCTATGGACGATTCAGTTTTTTGAATTATTTTAAAGATAACAGATAGCTTCTAGCTCTAATCAAAAAAGCTGTTTATCGCACTTCCTATACATACATTATTTTATTTATACTTACTTATATTTCATTTGTTATCCCAGGTTTTCTGAAAGATCGTGGTAGCATAAGCAAACTACATCACCAAATTATTATTCCTAAGTTAATCTGAAACCACGAGTTTATTTTGTTTATAGTTATGCCTTTAAATCGTGATTTTACAAAACTCAACAATTTAAAAACGACCATAATTGAAATGAAAATAAAAGTTTTGTAACTGAGAGACAAAATTATTGGAAAAATGGAACTAATTCACTGAGGAATAAGCACAAAAAAACACCAATATTATTATTGGCGCCAAGGATAATTAATTTTTGCCAACTATGCTGTCAATGATGTTTAACTAATTTTGATTATAAATACTAAATGACATAAAATATGCTATGAGTTAAAATGAAAAATTAATGCAGAAAATGAAGTACGTAACTGGGTACTTGTAAAAAGCTGGGGTAATGATGACGTGTTATTATTGACACCAATGATGCTTAATTTTGGTTATGAGCACTATTTACATTATGGTAATCGGTTAAGTTTTGATAGATACCAAATATACTCTTATAAAGGTACAATGTATTTTAGAGTAAATTTGGTGTGGTTAATTACAGCTACAACAATACTGTACATTATGATAGATTTATTACATAGATACTCACAGGAGTGAGCAGCTTAACTATTACAAATTTTAAATATCATGAGTCAACTTGAGCAACAGCATTTTGGCAGATGATACTCAATACAGCTGGCTTTTATTTTGATGGGATGAACTACTGAATATTTGCTTTGCTTAATCTAATAATGTAAAGCAACAGAGAAAGTCAATAAATAATTATAAATTAAAAAAAATCAGAATCATTTAAACTTTATTATTTGTGATGGTATTTGTCAGAAAATTTTGTGCACATTTTTGTAGTGTTGTTCAGTGCTGATTAATCGATGCCTTTTTTCCACCCTGTACGAAAAACGGGCATCAGGCTAATTATAAATTTTAAAAAAATGGAATTATTTTAGATTCTGATTTAAATATTTCACGGTAAAAAGCTGTGCAATATGATTTCATAAGAATAACCCTTATGCGCCCACTGTTACTGGTATTTCTAGGGGAAAAGTATTCAGAAATTCTGTTTAAAAAGCTTTTTTTTTGTCCCTTGGAAGCAGGCACCCCCCTCCTCTTACTATTGTCATTTGTTCAATCCAGTTTCAATGAGAAAAAGGATAAAAAATTTCCCTGAACAGGAATTAGTATATTCTTTTTCCAAGCAATAGAGATAGGTGGAAAGTCTACAAGACTGGGCGTGGATAAGATTTTACATCACGATGTATCACCACTCTAACATCGCGACACTTAGTTACATTAACGTTTTATTTTTGCAGGAATGGAACAGCAGCATAACCCTTATAAAGCAAACAATTTTTTTATCCAGATTGTAGCAAATAATCAGAGAAGCATAGTACTTGCAAAATTAAGATCTTTGAACACATAAATTAACATTTCACATTTAGTTTAACAGAGCTTGGGAAACAATGCATCATTAAATAAAAAAGATGTAATAGAAAAGCAAAAAAGAATTACTAAAATAAATATAAAACTGAAAAAAACTTCGACTTCCGACTAACGCATTTGAGTAAAGACTATTTAACAATTTATTCGAATATAACTTTTTGACTCCTTGATTCTATAGTAATATTATGTTTTACGATTATTTTTATCGTCCACTTCACTTGTTTTTTCTCATTTTGATATTTTAATAAGAATATTATTACATGTGTATGCTATATTTTAAGGTATTATTTTTGCACTTGCTCTATTTGAACCAATTCTATAGTAAATCCTGGTCAACCCTTTCCAATTCTAATATTTTTAATACAATGTTATGCAACAGTGATTTTCTATAACTTGAAAAAAAATATATATATATAATTTCCGTGTTGGAGAATTACATGTCCCAAGGGGCAAGTCATAAAAAAATTTTGTGATCCCTCTACGATTTTTGGCGTACTTGACATGTTTTAACATGTAAGAGGAATAACTGGACAAATCAATTTCATTATTTTTGCAATAACTACTTAACATGCTCTATTGGATAGGTTGAAAAAAATCACTTAACTTAACATGTTAATTCACATTTGGGTGAAAGATGAAAATTGCTCGCAATTTGGCGCAAAACTGATATTTGTGCACAAATGTTGTGTCAAATTGAAATTTATGATAGATTGAGAAAGAACTTAAGAACAGTTAATGCCGAAAGGCGCATTTAACTTTAAAGTTGTTAGTTTAGTAAATTACTATGTCTACGATGCATCAAGGGTGATTGCGAGTCCAACTCAAAAATCCTGAATATTACTCGAGTAAAATCATTAATGACGCATTTCAAAAAATTAATGTCTTCATAAATTTAACTCATTGATTATATGCAGCATAATTTAAATGAATAATTATGTATAAGTTTACTTTTATGTATTATCACATTGTTTATTCTTAAAGAAAAAATATTTACAAATGGAAGAGATGCCAAGTATATATTCTAGTTCTAATATTTCTAAATAAAATATACAAGAATTTTTCGTCTTATACATTTCCAGAAGTTTCCGGAAATCCTTTTTCCAGATCACAGTTAGCGAAAAATCAGGCTATCTGGATTTTTTCCCGAGCACAATCACCTACGAAGCATCGAGAAATAGCGTACATACTGTCGGGTGTATACTTCTGAAGAAAATGCCAATCCAAACATTGCACCCCCGATGATTGCATAACATTGATATTTTCTGATGCATCGGCTAGTCCTAAATATCTGTAAAAGAATTAATTTATTCCTTTTCCAAGAATCAAAGAGAGGTGGAATGTTTGTAAAGGAAAATGTTTTTTTCTCTAAAAATCAGAGAGAGGTAGAATATTTGTAAAGGAACTAATTTTTTCTTTTTCTAAAAAAAAAAAATTAGTTCCTTTTTGAACACACACACCACTTTCTAATAAGTTTTCCTAATGCAGGTGTTTTTTTTTAATATTATGTACTGTGCAGTGTATGTAATTATATTAATTTCTATGAACACTTATAAATAAATTTGAACCAATTTTGATGAAAATAAAATTTTAAAAATTAACATTTAAACACACCATGCTAAAAAAATAATAGCTACAAATCTCAGTCTTAATCCTGGAAAAAAAGAAAAGGTCTAAAAAAACACTGCTAGAATTGCTTTTCAATTCAAGTTGTTCCATTATCCAGATATTTCCGAAATTATATCAGAGCTCCACTGTATTTGTAGTTATTCTGACACAATGCTTTTTATTATCTTTATTACTTTTATATAAGTTGAGGGTGTTTCCTGTGCACTCTTTATAATTTAAGATTAAAAAAATACTTAATTAATTTTAAAATATATCTTTGCATGAATAAACAAATACATAAATTGTAAAAACAAGGTTTAATTCATAAGAATTTCACTTCGTAAAAAGACTTCTTTAACTTCGTAAAAAGATGCTCGTCTTTTGCACTTCAACTTTTTTTAACTTTCAACAATATTCATAAAACCAAATTTTTAACATTGAGTAAGAAAGTTCTCACTCTGCAGAAATTATATTTTTTTAAACTTACATATATTTATTTATCATAACTATTATATCATACAAAACAAAATAAACATATTTACATAATAAATTCATCCACACATGTTAATAAATCAAGATTTTCCTTGAGCTTCTTTACTTTCTAAAGATGTATGATCATCGGTCTTTTTCCTCTTGTGTTTTCTTTGGGGGACATGGCCAGAATCTTTTGGACCTTGGTAACTGTAATGAAATTGTTTAAATATAAGGGAAAATTTAAAATTATCTACACTTTTATTATAACTTTTCTTACACTGAATTTTGTTTTTGTTTATTTTATTTTATATAGCAGCTGGACATTTCATTAAAAATTTAAAAAACCAAGCATTGATCTGTTTCTTCTGGTCAGTGGGTATAAAAGGTTCAGAAATTTATTGTAGATAAATATCACTCGTGGATCTGCTCTGTCCGTCCTAAAGCCTGTGCTTTCTCAGAAATATTACAGCAAAACACAAGTTTAGATCTAGTGTGTATCGACACACAATCTACAACAATGAAAAAAAAGTTTCAAGAGAAAATGCTATCCCTCCACATAGCAATGATAGTTTACAATAAATTTCTTTGACACCTGCCAGAGGAATCAAATAGCTACTTATTCTTATTCTTTGGTACAAGTATCTATCAGCAATGATACAATAGCATCAGAAATAAAAAGATTGCCAAAATATGGTTAAACATTCGTAGTATTACCACAACAGCATAACAATAAACTGCACCAATGGTGTTTCCACCTTATCGTAGTTTGTGTGTGTTGTCGATCCCGAGAGCTATGCCGGCGGTAGCTTAGCTACTGGTAGGGTCACCCAAGCCGGACAGGTAGGAGGGGAGACACCAGACCAAGAGGAACACCCTGGTCCTCCAGGTTGGGGGTTGGGCATGGGGCTAACAACCCCATCCTGTAAAAAACAAATTGTTATGAAGTCTAAAGAAGAGAATCCACGGCTGATCGTACGGAGACGACTTGGAAAACGCCTTTTGGAAATGAAATTTGGGACATGGAACGTTTTATCTTTATATCGAACTAAAGCATTACAAATGCTTTTGCAACAATTGGATGAATACAAGATTGATCTAACTGCAATTCAAGAGATTAGATGGACTGGAAATGGAGTGATTAATAAGAGAAACCACACGGTCTTTTTTAGCTGTCACCCTGATCATCACAAGGAAGGAACAGGGTTCATTGTTAATAAACGTATTAAGCATCTGGTTATGAACTTCATTGCTGTTTCTCCTAGACTCTGTGCGATTAGGATCAGAGGACAGTTTTTCCACTATAGTATAATTTGTGCTCATGCACCCACTGAAGACAAGTCAGATGATGAAAAAGAAACCTTTTATGAGGAACTAGACAAGATTTTTAATGACTGTCCACGGCATGATAGAAAACTAATTATTGGAGATCTTAATGCTAAGGTGGGAAAGGAATCTGAATTTCATTCAGTTATAGGTCGACACAGTCTGCATGATATTACGAATGATAATGGCTTAAAGTTAATTGATTTTGCCGCCTCCCATAATTTGATCATTGGGAGTACTTGCTTTCCCCATAAAAAGATTCACAAAGCTACTTGGAGAGCACCAGATGGATCATTTGCTAATCAGATAGATCATGTACTTATTGAAGCTAGACATTATTCTAATTTATTAGATGTTCGGACTTACAGAGGTGCCAATGTTGATTCAGATCATTTTTTGGTAATTGCAAAAGTGCGAGAAAGAATATCCGTGGTTAAAAATAAAAAAGGTACAGTTCTGAAGGAGTTCAACTGTGATAAACTTAAAGTAAATGATATAAAAACGAAATATATCAATGATGTTGAAGCTGCTCTCACTAACATGCACTGGGAGAATGATTCTGTTGAGTCAAAATGGCTACAGTTGAAGGAAAAAATTTGTAATGCTGCTGACAACATTATTGGTAAGAAGGAAAAGAATTCAAATAAAGATTGGTTTGATGATGAGTGTGCTGCAGCATCCAATACTAAAAACATTGCTTATAAGAAAATGATTCAAAAGAATACAAGATTTAATGCTGATGAATATAGACGATTAAGGAGAGAGGAAAAGCGAATCCATAAGAGCAAGAAAAAAGCTTTTGAAGAGGAAAACCTAAGAGATATTGAGTCCCTGAAGACAATAAATGAAAGCCGAGCTTTCTACAGGCGAATTAATAGAAGTCGAATGGACTTTAAACAAACATCTAACCTCTGCAAAAGTAAAGATGGTTTGATTCTGACAGACAAACAGGCTGTACTCAGCAGATGGAGTGAACATTTCCAAGAAATGTTCAGTAAACATGATCAATCCTATTGCTCTGGGAGCATTTTTGAAAATCAGAATAATGAAGATATACCTCCACCTGAACTGGGCGAGGTTGATATCGCTATAAAAAAGTTAAAAAACAACAAAGCAACTGGGCACGACAGGATAGCAGCTGAGCTGTTAAAATGTCATGGTCCAGTATTTCTAAAACTAATTTATAATCTAATTACTGATATTTGGAATGCTGAAATTTTACCTTCTGACTGGAACACTGCCATTATTTGCCCAATATATAAAAAAGGTGATACTATGGTTTGTTCTAACTACAGAGGTATAAGTTTGCTATCTACTACCTACAAAATCTTGTCAAACATTTTATTTGAAAGACTTATACAATATATAGACCCTCAAATTGGAAACTACTAATGTGGTTTTCGCAAGGGAAAATCTACTAAAGATCAAATATTTGCACTTAGACAAGTTTCAGAGAAGACCAGGGAATTTGGTATTACCACACAACATCTCTTTATTGATTTCAAAGAAGCCTTTGACAGTATTAATAGAAATCACTTGTATGAAGCCCTGGTTAAGTTTCAAGTACCACCAAAACTAATTAGACTTGTAGAAGCAAGCATGTCAAACACCGTATGCAGAGTCAAACTTTTGGGATCTTTATCTGAAGAAATTAAAGTAAATAATGGAGTCAGACCGGGAGACTCCTTATCCTGTCTTCTTTTTAATGTTGCTCTAGAGAAAGTTATAAGAGATGCTGAAATATCAGAGGCAACATATTTTCAAAATCTATTCAAATATTGGCGTATGCGGATGATTTAGACATCATTGCACGAACTGTTCCTGCATTAAAAGAAGCTTTCCTTTCTTTGGAGCTTGCTGCTTGGGATATGAGACTAATCATCAATACCGATAAGACCAAATACATGCCTGTACTTGCTAAATTAAATTCTAGTGAATCCTATCTGGAGATTGGTACCCACAGGTTTCAGACTGTTCAGAATTTTACTTACCTTGGTTCAATAGTTACTGCCGACAATAACATAGACAATGAGATTCGGAGTCGTCTAATTTGTTCAAATAAAGCTTTTTATGGTTTAAAACGTTTTTTCAAATCCTCTCTTTTATCAAAAAATACAAAACTTTTACTCTAAAAAACATTAATTAGGCCAATACTTACCTATGGTTCTGAGACCTGGAACCTAACACAAGCTGGTGAAAATAAAATTGCCATTTTTGAGAGGGGCCATCCTTGGTGGGATAAAAATAAATAATTCCTGGAGAAGACGATGTAATACAGAACTGTATAAAATCTACAGAGAGCCAGATATTGTGAAATTCATTAAAATAAATCGAATGAACTGGGCAGCTCACATTTTCAGAAGGAATGATGACTCAAATTTAAAGAAAATCCTATTACACAAACCCCTAAAGAACAGGAAAAGAGGTAGATCCAGGCTGAGATGGCTGGATTTAGTTGAGACTGATTTCCTTACTCTAAAGGAGAAAAACTGGCAAACAAGTGTCAAAAGTAGAGAGAAGTGGATTCGAATCCAAAGGAAGGCACTGGCCCACCCTGGGCTGTCTAGCCAGATATGATGATATGATGCATAACAATAAAATAAGCAAGTACAAAAGTTATTGTGCCCAAAGTAAGACAAATTATCATAAATTCAGTTTTTCATGTATCCATGTAGCTTACAAGTCATCAGAGTCTAAGAAATAAATATGGTAGTTACTAACATATCCGCTTAATTTTTGAAGCAAGTTTTGCTTACTTTTGCATTTTTTGGTGACAGATTGATGTCAACAAAGATCTAAATCACATATTTGTCATGCATGACAATTAATTTTTTAAACTTAATGAGTAACGAAACTTACTTTTTGGTAAAAAGAAAAAAAAAATAATATATAAAAAATATAATCAAATGTTGTATTCTGCAATAAGCAAAATTTTAGTAAGTAAAGGTTGATATGTAGATTTTACATTATAGAAGCATATGAATTAAAAATTGTATATATTTTACACTAAGCAATAATATTTTACACTAAAACTTGATAAATCAGAAGGAAAAAAACACACACACAGAGTGTGATACACATTTCATGCAGTCAAATTAGCAGTACTGCTATGATATATATTAAAGTTTTTCAAGAGACAAAATAAATTTGTACAGTACACAGAACAAAAAATAAATTATTACCAACCTATTGAAAAGCATTGATAAACTACAAAATTAATATTATTATATTTAAGAAAAATTTATAATGTTATATTTAAGAAAAATTTGAAAACCAAAAATTGTTAAAGGAAAAGTATTTTGAAAAGATTTATAATCCAAGAAAATTTAATCATAATAGACTTGAATTTTAACATGAAATAATCACATAAATCATAAGATTTATCTACTTTATAATTTACAGTTCAAACAAAATATACTGTTTCAGTGACTGCAGAGTTCAAAACTGATTGTTTTCTAGGTTTCTAACAGAATTTTCTTAGGTTCTGGCTAAAAAAGTTGACAATTTCTCATAATCCCTAGATTTTATTTTTACCAAAATCAAGTTTTGTGAACGCTCTAAGTTTTCTTGACCCCCTAAAAGCCATGAAAATTAAGAATGACGCTGAGACAATGTGGGTAGATGTTTGCTATTTTAATAATGTAAAAAATAAATAAATAAAATACGAGAAAGTATATGAGGAATGGCAGAAAAATTTATTAGAACCAACTAAATCTTTAGAAAATGTTGAGAAATATATAGGTCTTATTTATAATTTTAAAGTGCCTGTGCTTTAAAGGGCATTCAAAAAAGCTGCCTAACAGGCTACATTTTTAAATTTAATTCCTTTCTCATTAAACAAAGTCTATAACCCAACTTTAACGATTAAAATATATCTAAAAAAACATTACAAAGAAATTTAAAAATACATACACATATATAAATATTTTTGACAGTAAGATAAAAAAAACTAATAGATAAAAATATTCTAACCCTCTTTCATTGGAATCCAAAGCATCTTTACAAAGAAGGATACTTATCATCGGAATTTCTCTAGTAACCTGCAATCTATCCAAATCAGGATTTTTAGGTTCCCAAAATTCTTCAACCCTTAATGAAAGACAAAGAATATTAATGATATAAACTTTTATATTATCATCAATGAATAATGTTTTTTACTAATTGTTTTTTTTAAATAATTTCCAATATATTTACATAAATCAAAATAAAATAATTTTGATAAAATACTATTTAATCACCTGGTACTCTTACCACTAAGTAACTTTCAAACTATAGGAAATTAGCATTTTTCAAACAATTATATTATTTTACAATGCAGTAATATAAATATAAGTTGAAACAGATTTATTAAAAAATGCTTGATGAAAATAAAGTCATATTTACCTTAAAGCATTAAGTCTAGAAATTTGATAAAGACCCTGAAAAGAAATTAAAAATTATTACAGAATAAAAACACTTAATTAAAGTTAATTTATTTTGAACACTACAAAATTTTAGTACATCTCAATAAAAGAAAATGTGAAAATAATAATTGATCAAAAAAAAATCTATTCAGTACATTATAAATAGTCTTTGAAATTTAACAAATGAAAAGCAAAAAATAAAAATAAATGTATAAAATACTTTAAAGAGCACTGCATATGAGGCAATAAGAATCAGGATAGCAAGAAGCTACTTAGACACATTTTCACTTGACCTGTATAACTCAAAAGTCATTGTGGGCTATTTTCAGAATGCACCTATCACTAAACAATACTAAGGAACAGCTAGTGTACATCCTGGATTTTCCGTAACAAAAAACTTTCTTGTAACAAAAAACCAGTTTCCCTCAACCATTCAATAGGAATTTATTGCCTAGTAGAGAAATACAAGTACAATTCTGCCAAATGACTCAATGCTTGGAGCATTAAAGGTTCATTACTACACTAATTAAATGTAACAAATATAATTAATCAGTAGAAAGAATGAAATAATATTTATTGATAAATTCAAAATGAATACTGATATTTCACATCACAATTAATGCTGCATGTTTTCTTCAGTTAAGAAAATCAGACAATTATTTTAGCACAGAAAAATTATTTGCGGGCTTAAACCTTAACTTTATTCACAACAATCTGGGTCAGATATCTTAAATTATTATTATTTATGTTATTAATGGCAGCATTGTAAAAATCATTTTTTTACACACTGCCGCTCGTTGAAAAATATTTTTTTTTTAATTTTTAAGTTCATCTAATGATGAAAAATGTTAAAATTACCATTTTTCAATAACCCTCATAAATAATGCTGATTTTTTCTGGAATATTTAAATTTTCTTAAAATCATTGCATTTTCATTTTTCTATAAATGGTTCCTTCAATTTATTTATTTTTCCTCCATGTATTCTACTCTTTTTCTCATATTGTTATTTAAGTCTAAATAAAAAAATTTTTTAAGACTGTAGAACCCTGATTATTTGACAAACTCAGTTATACGAAAATTCCTTCCACTTACATTCAGGAAGAATTTAAAGTAATAGAGAACAAGCATAATCTGATTGTTGGATTTTTCAAGCAGCAAAGTTATACTATCAGGGGTCTGTTTAGAAGAAATTTGGGTCCGTTAACGGACCCTTCACAAAATATCTATTCATAAAAAGGGACCCTTCACAAAATATTTTAACATAAAAACGGACCCTTCACAAAATGATTTTTCTTTTAATCGGACCCTTCACTAATTTGTTTATCTTCATTATTGTTTTGTTAATCGAATAAACCCTTCCCAGCGCAGAATACAAGAAAGATGGATGTAAACGAATTAAGTTTTGTCTTCGGCAGACGATTCTTCCATTATTCCTCCGAAATGAACATTCTGCGTTCAGCAGTAGAGGCTAAATACCAAATATTTGTATGTTGCATCTAATTTAGAAGCAGCAATTGCTGTAAAAATTTAATTTTTTTATTATAATTTTACAGTGCCGAGCATAATCTTGCATCTATTTTAAATTTAAAAATTCCTTGAAAAAGTGTTTTGCAATAACCGGACCCTATTTGCACAAATTCACAAAAGCGGACCCTGGTTGAAAGAATGTGAGTAATTTTCTCACAATTTCACGAAAAACGGACCTTTCACAAAATGTCTGGATAGACCCTTGACTATATACTGCTGTGCAATAGAAAAATTAACGTAAGTCACAAAAAATTCAAAATTAAGATTTTTATGTATTTGGCATTTTCGCATGATAAACCACTTATTACGAAGGATTTTTTTTAAACTAAATTTTATTTCATCAGTTTTTTGAAATTATATTTTGGCATTCATAGCATTAGCAACAGGAAGAAAATAGTTGTCATGCCCCTTTTCTTGTAAATCTATTGAGAGGCACTTAAATTTTTTTTTTTTTTTAAAATTGCATAGCAGTGAACTGCAATTAACAACATGAGAACTAAAGAATACCTGGAACTTAGTTTTAGTAATTTCAACACAAGAAATTGTCTTTTCAATAGCATCACCACATCCAGTAAATATCATATATCGGTTTTTCTCCTCCTAAAGAATGAAAAATAATGTTTAATTATAAGAAGCAAAAGGAAATATATTAATAAACGAAATAAAATACAACAAATTATTTTAGAATAGAAAATGTTTATTGTTTATAATACAAGTAACTCTTTAATTAAAACTCAAAGATAAATATAAAAATATTCAAATTAATAAAACTATGCATTGATAGGAAAAAAATAACACCATAGGAATAAAGTTGAGCTGTATTAAATTAAAGTATTTAACAGAACACATAACTTACGACTCAAGTAACCTAATTATAATGACACATTCGATATCAATGTCAGAACATGTTCATAAGCTTTCTGTTTTCTATGTTTCAAAATCAGTAAAAACATTATATCTATTTAACATATTCTTCAACTATCTATTTTGAAAATTTGACTTCTTTTATAGTATTTATTATATATTTAGAATAAAAAATACTATATATTTTTAATTAAGTGGAAATTGTTTTCCGTTATATAAAATAATATGATAAATCAATATCAAATGTCCACTGAGAGGCATATCATAAAATCACATATGCATACAGCGGTCTGGCTAGGCCGAATTTACTACCATCTAGCGGTACTTTCACAAATTCAACTTTAGGAAAAACGGTAGTTTCACAAAAAACTTTTTCTTATAATTTTATTTTTGTATTCCTTAAGAAACGATAAATCCATATTTTCGTGTTGATTTTTTAATACAGTTTTTAATTTTTCACAAATTATGTCTAAATTTTCGCAAAATAGGTACCTCTCAGAAAAATCTAGATAGACCCCTGGCATACCATTAATACGTTTCAGAAGACATTTTAGTGCTGTGATTAAAAATAACAAAATTCCTTCTAATAGTTTGATAAAGAGAACAATCAAAATTTTGAATAAAAATAAATATTTTATGTTAAAGCATTTCTATTAATGTATTTCCAATTTTTCCTCAGAACAAAAATAAAACAATTTCAATAAGTAAAACTAAAATGACAAAAAAAAAAGTTGTAAATTAATTAAATGCTATAAATATGCATATCCACTTTTAACAACCCAATAATAATAAGTTAAATTTTATGGAAATCATCTGTTGTGCATTTGCCTCTGATGTTTGACAACTTTTTTCCCTGACGACCACTATTGTCACATGCCGGAAATAGAATCAAATATTGCAACCCCAATAAATTTGAAATGTTCACTTGTATTACATTTTATAACATTAAATATTATGCATTTTATAAATAACTGCAGATGTATCTCAAATGGCAGCCTCCAGGCAACTGCTTTGTTACGTGCCTGCACTAAACACCAAAAAACGGAATCAAATATTGCTACTCTATGAAAATTACTGTCAATTGTGAAAATTAGGGTCGATTTCAAGTCACAGTGTAATGGGCAATGGCCCTTAACCTGATAAAAATATCAGAGTCGGGTCTACTGGGCAGTGGAACTAAAAGAACAAAAGTAAAACTCTACTATTAAAAAAATAAATGCTTATTACATAGGTAGATAGCAGTTACAAATATCATTTAGCTTCATAAGATAATACCAAAGTATTATTTTATAAAGCTAAACATGTTTTGTTATATCTCTGCAACAAGTTTTATAAAAAATATAGCAATATAATAACACAAAACAATTATTTATAATGCTAAATAAGGATAAAAAAAAAGATACTATGATGAATACATTGAAGTTACTCACTTATAAAATGTGCAATCCATTTCATTTATTCAAAATACTTTGAAATTTCATTAATCTTTTATCTCATTTTAGCAAAATGCACCGTAATAAAAAATTGACTCTAACACACATTGAACTTGTGGTGGTACTATTCAAAACAAAATGCCTCTAATTAAAATTAGTCTAATACTAAGACGTATTGTGCATCGCTTCAAAATTAATTTGAACAGTCTTAATTTATCTAAGCAGTGCAGGTAGATTGAATAAAACACATAGCCAAATTTTCAAAATGCAAAAAAAATCTGTCTAGTGAAATTCCAGACAATTTTATACCTGGTAATCAAACTTAAACTTAGAATAAATATGGATTGCGATTTTGAGCATTGCTTCTAACTCCACCCCCCTTTCTTAATCATTACATAACTCTTATCAGCAGACACATTTATACAATCCAAATCCAGCAATGTCAGTTATTGTTGTCAATGTTGGCAAAAAAAAAAAAAAAAATTGAAATACAGGCGCAGATGCACAACAATTCTGTTTCAATTTGTATGGCTATTATAATTTTATCTGTAAAAGGAGAGAGATAATTTGTAATGATGTTACAGATGTATGTCAGATTGTGGTTTTAGAAGCAAATGTCATCAAATAGATTTTGAAAAATGATTTAGTCAGAGCCACTATGAATTTATTTATATTCAAAATTTAATGTAATAAAGAAAAGAAAAACTAATAATAATTATTTGCTTTACAGATATCAATTCAATTAACTATAATTAAAATAAGGATAGTCAAACCATATGTTTAACTAACATTTCCTTTTTCTTAACTAATAAAGCAATAGGTACTTTTTTGACATTAATTAAATAAAATATATCTTTTCAAAATTTAATTTCTTTAATTTTAATATGTCACTTTAACTAAAAATTTTCTAATGACTCCTTCAAAGAGTTAAATAAAAATTTCATAACACACACCGTTTTAAGAGATCACTCAAAATTGGAAAATTTCCACAATTTTATGCAATTAAAACCTTTCTGAATGCTAAATGAAAATTGACAGATAACAAAAAGATCTTTAAGCAGCACTTAAAAAACTTACATTAAGTAGAATTAAATTTTACAACATTATTAACTCTTTTCTTATATTCTTAACATAATTTCACGAGATTTAAATATAAAAACAAAGAGCAACTAAGGATAACTGCAAAAAACAAACATCTGTCATAAAAATAATTCAAAATAATTAAAATAACTAGCCATTTTTAAAACTGGTTGATATAAGAAACAATAATAATTAATAGTAGAATAGAATAGCAAATGGTAAAAAGGTATCAAGAATTGTAAAAGACATCAAATATAAAAATTGATATTAGGACCATTAAAATATTACGTAACACCTAAAGGGATAAAGAGACTTATGATTTCCTTATTTTTGCTGACCAATGAGGTAGGAAGGATATGAGTACCTAATACTTATGCGAGGCATTAAAATCCCTTATCTTTGAAATTTTCTTATAAAGCAAAATAAAAATCGCAACAAAAAATTACACAAGGAAAATTTTAAAATGTGGAATAAAAGTTGAACTTGGGAAGAGAAAAAATGTTTAAAAAATTTCTTTGACGAGTTTTGAACACAAAAAATTCCTTAAGAATATTTGACTCAAATTTTATAAATGGAATTAAAATGCAACCTTTGGTTTAAAGTTACATATATTTATATGAATTTAATTCTAAAACTAGATTACTTCAGTAAATGTCAAAGTTAAAGTTAGTTGCAAGCATGGGGGAGAGGCTTATTTTTGCTGGCAAGAGGGAAGGGGAATCCGAAATTACCAAAAATATGCATACGTAATATTTAAATGGCCCTAATGGTTTGATGATTTACCTTTAAGCTCTTTTCAACAAAGCCTAAGATATTTTTAATTTTGCTTCCACGCTTTACTTTCACAATTATAGTATCCTCAGGAACATTTGTAAAATCCTGTTTAGGATCATTATGTTTTACATCAACATCACCCTTACAGTAATATTCATCTACTGCAAAAGAAAGAGAACATTATAACAGCAACGCAATTAATCTATAAATTAATTGTAACACTCGCATCCATACATATATATTTATATATATATATATATAAATAGACTGTTCAGTTTAAATTTAGATATGTAAGCAACACTAAAAAAAATAAATAATTAAGGGCAACACATGGTAAAAAAAAAGAAAGGAAAGGACGAATTTAACGATCGAGTCTTTCTTTTAAATCCATTGTTTTTCAGGTTATCAATTTTGCAGGCAAAATATTATAAATAAACATTTTTCAATAGATATGAAATAAGTAAGAAAAAAATTAAAATAGCACATCAAAATATTTTATGCTTACGTATTGATTTAGAGGCCATGTTTAGTTCGTATCGAATAATTCCGATTCTTCTATTTAATGATTTCAGCGCATTTAATTTAGATTTGAGTAAGAATTTAAATAAATTTTCTGTAAAACAAAAATAGCAAATCAAGCAAGGCACCAAGAAAAAATAATCAAATAGAAATTTCAAATATAAATGTGATTCGTGATTTCAAATATTTAGATTTATTAAAACCGTTTCAGGATCAAAAGTAGCTTTGATGGGATATATAAAATCGATTTAAAATTTTAAAACTCAAAAAACGGTTTGATCGCATTGACTACGTACATATTTTCGATAGCAGGATTTAAAAGTTTCTCTCATTGAGTGGCTTTCAGCTTTACTTTCGCTAAAAGTAGTGAGTGAGGTTTATTCTTTGCATTTGATCTATAGTAAGAAAAAAGAAGAAAAACGGAAACAGGTTATGGAACGGAATTTTAATTAAAGGTTTCACTTTTACTCTCACTCTTGTAGATATTTTGTGTTCCTGTTGTATATTTGGAAAAAAAATTTCACCAAGCAAAATTTTTTTACTTTATTTGTATGTAATTTTGTTAAAAATCAATATTAAGTTAGTTGGGAAATACTATCAAGCTTCTCTCCCTCTATGCATATACATTTTTAGTATTTCCGTGTTTACAGGTGTTCTTAAATAAACAGGTGTTGCGGTAGCTCTTCTTTTTGTAGTTTATTCTCTTAGTCACTTCTGTTTGAGGAGCTTAATATGTTCCGTCCAGGTAACAATATTTCTTTTCATTTAATTTTCAGATATTGCTATTTTAAATTTATTTTTCAAAATGATCCACGTTTTCTTTTTTTTTTTTTAATATTGTATTCTTTTTTGTCAAACTTTAGCTATGCATTTTTGTTCTTTATTTAAACTGCTATTTTCACTACATAATGAAACTTTTAGTTATAAACAAAATTTATTAGTGATGGAGTTTGAATTCTTTTTGAAGTGTGTAGTCAGTTTAATAAAGTAACTGAAAAGTTTAAATCTTTTATTTATTGAAAAGAAAAAATTAAGGCATTGATTCTTTTTCTTTCAATATTAAAAAGAAACTTAAGATTTTATGTAACCCTAATTTTATTTAGATTATTTGAATACTTTTAATCATTAAAAAAATAATTACTACCTAATGAGTAGAAAATATGAGTAATTTTTCAAAAACTAAACATAGTCATCAGCATGCATCGAAGCGTGTTACTGAATAAGCTGAATTGTGAAAAATAAGTTACAGTCTGTATAAATAATGTAATATCTATATAAATAGTATGATAAATTTGTATAAATATTAAATTTTTTTGCTAAATTAAATATTGTCATGAATAGTTTTTGCTATATTTTCTTTTTCATTAATCTAGTATTCAAGAAGGAAGTACATTTTATTTTCTATTTTAATTTCATTTTTATTACCCTTCTGAATTAAAAAATTTTTCTGTAAAACTTTTTTTTTTATTTAAAAAAAAAAAAAAAACAGTTTGTGTTTTCTAAGTGAGTCAGTGTTTATTTTTGCAAAAAAGTGCACTTTTTCTTCTTTGGAGAATTCTTCTTGGTATAAATTGATTAGATATTTTTTATACATTCATAACATTAACTTGCGAATGTAGCTTAATTAATTATATAAAAAATTTGTGTATTGATTTATTTTTAGGGTCTAGATTATTAAGCCATAAGAACCAGAGCTTGAAAAAAAGACCTGGACTTTTTTAAGTTTTTTTTTTCAGAAATATTTTATATTTTTATTTCAGAGTCCTTATGAGATTGCAGGACTTGTTTTTAACATGAAAGTTAAATGTTTGGTAGTTATTTATCCCTCATTTTGTTACAATGTAACCATTTTTTGTGGAAGTTTTAGATTGTTAGGTTATTATTTTTATTCTTAACAATGAGCAGATAGTTCCATAAAAATTTTAAATTAAAAGATTGTGAAATTTTTATTACACTTACACATATTTAGTACCCAAGTCTATTGGGGTAAACTTCAAATTTTTGCTCAGTTACCATTGCAACTTAATCCTTAATTTTGTTTTCAAATTTCAACATTTTGTTACTATAAAATTATTTAAATGTTTTTAACAAACAGATTGCTCCGTAATGCTTTGTAAAGTTAATTCCTAATAGCAGTTTTGTATTCATTATTTTAATTGCAAATTTTGATCAAAAATTGTTTTATATGAAGCTTATTATATAAGTAAACTATCTACAGTAAACTATTTTATTATTTATTTACAGTTTAATGATTATGAAATTATTTATTTACATATATAAATTTTTTTCTTAAAATATTATGTAATGTAATATTAAAGGATTACTTTGTGTATAAAAAAATTCCACATTTAGTTTTAAGCCTTTAATTTGGAATTATAATAGAAATCAAGTGATAAAAATAGAAATCTGGTCATAATAATAGTAGTGAATAATATTAAGAAAGGATGATAAATAACTTTTACAAGTAAATTAAATACCTTTAAAAAATAAATGAAAAAGTAATTATATGTAGAATAAACTTTTCAATGATTTTTCTATCAACAAACTTCTTTCTTCATACTTTTTTGTTGTATGAAAAAAGAGATATCATTCTCAATTTAACAGTATAACTCTGAAAAGAAATTATAAAACATAATTCAATTATAATGAAATTAAAAAAATAAATGAATGCTAATTAGTTTCCTATATATGATTAAAATTTAACAAACAGTTTTTATGTTTTATAATAATGTTTAAACACAATTTATAAATTATATCTTAGGGTGACCTGGGGTAATTCCTGATCAAAAAATGCAAACATCTATTTTGTAAAAAAATTATTCAAGATAGAATTTTAATATTTACTGGAAGTTTGAGGCTATATGAGATGAGTCCTATGCCACCTTCTTTTGTTTGAAAATCTAATTAGAATTTAAAAGATTTTAAGTTTTTAGTGATCAGGAATTACCCCTGGTCTTGATCATTTCTGGGGTAATTCCTGATCACTTCTGGGGTAATTACTGATCACCAGTTTTTATTGTAAAGGGGCTGTTTAAAAATAATTATATAATGGTAATTAACAAATAAGACATCAAGATCAAACAAATAAACCAAAAAGATATGTTTAAGCAGCTAATAAAACTATTTATTTAAAAGCAAGAAGAA